TGATCACAGTGTATCATGCATCACTCACCATATTATCTTCTTTGGTTACTCCTTAATGATGTGTTTCCCTTACTGGAGTATAAGTTCATGAGGGTGGGGAATTTATAGGTTTTTCCTTGTGTTCTATAGAGTGTTTTGAGTTCTACATAGTAGGGGCTTTAACTATGTATTTTTTGAATGAATGAATGAATGAATGAATGAATGAATATTAGGATTGGTGAAGCACTAGAATATATTACCAAGTATTGGAGGTAAATGTTCAGAAAAAAAAATATTTTTTTTATAGAATTGACCATTACAGGGTGCTCAGTCATTAAGAATCTACCTCTGGCTCAGATCATGATCTCCAAGTCCTGGGACTGAGCCTTGTGTGAGGCTCCCACTCAGTGGGGAGCCTGCTTCTCCCCCTCCCTCTGCCCCTTCCCCTGCTTGTGCTCAAATAAAATAAATAAAATGCTTAAAAACATAATTGACCTTGATGCTTGAGAGAGAGTGAGGTAGGTTAGTAAAGAACCATAATGGGGGCAAAATCTGAGGGTAACCATTTTCTTCTGTCTCTTTTCAGTATTACCTTTTTAAAAAAAGATTTATTTATTTATTATTTATTTATTTATGATAGACATAGAGAGAGAGAGAGAGAGAAAGAGAGAGAGAGAGAGAGAGGCAGAGACACAGGCAAAGGGAGAAGCAGGCTCCATGCCAGGAGCCCGATGTGGAACTCGATCCCAGGACTCCAGGATTGCACCCTGGGCCAAAGGCAGGCACTAAACCACTGAGCCACCCAGGGATCCCCTACCTTTTTTTTTTTAAAGATTTTGTTTATTTATTCACGAGAGACACAGAGAGGGAGAGGCAGAGACAGAGGCAGAGGGAGAAGCAGGCTCCCTGTGGGAAGCCAGAGCAGGACTTGATCCCAGGACCCTGGGACCATGACCTGAGCCTTCCAGGTGCCCCTCAGTATCACTTTTAACTACTTCCTGGTCCCATTCACCTACCCAACCATGGCACTGTAAGTATTGTTGTCTGTACCATGTATGAACTAGAAAGTTGATGTGTCACCAATACTTCAGAATTTGCTTGATAATTTAAGGAAATCTAGAGGAAGAACAAACTGGGAGAATGGACTTCTAATGGAAGAATTTCAAACCCTGGGCATGTGCCTAGGAAAGGAGTTGAAGAAAGCAGGACTCTCCCAGCTCTCCACACCAGATGTGCAGTACTGCCCTTCTGCTAACAGAGGAAGGAGAGCCTATGCGTGCAACCACTGCTCATGCCACAGCAGAAAAACAGGCTAAGTTACAAAGAAATACAACAGAACAAAATAATTTCTTAAATGGTATAGGTCGCCACTAATAAGAGAAACACAATTTTTTTTTTAAAGGGTTGCCACTGAGGGCTTGTAGAGTTGGTCTTTTTTTTTAAATTTTTTTATTTATTTATGATAGTCTCACACACACACAGAGAGAGAGAGAGGCAGAGACACAGGCAGAGGGAGAAGCAGGCTCCATGCACCGGGACCCCGATGTGGGATTTGATCCCGGGTCTCCAGGATCGCGCCCTGGGCCAAAGGCAGGCGCCAAACCGCTGCGCCACCCAGGGTTCCCGAGAAACACAAATTAAAACAATATACTAATTTTTGTCTATGAAATTGGCAAAGATTATTATTTTTCTTAAAGATTTATTTATTTATTTATGATAGAGAGAGAGAGAGAGGGGCAGAGACACAGGAGGAGGGAGAAGCAGTCTCCATGCCGGGAGCCCAACGTGGGACTCGATCCTGGGACTCCAGGATCATGCCCAGGGCCAAAGGCAGGCGCCAAACCGCTGAGCCACCCAGGGATCCCCTGGCAAAGATTATTTTTTTAAGACAAAACTCAATGTTGGCAAATATGCTGAGGAAAAGGCGCTCATATTCAACTTGTGAAAGGAGGAAAGATATAAACTTTTGGGAGGGCAATTTGGCACTATATATCCAAAGCCTTAAAAAAAAAAAAAAAAAAAAACAACCAAACAGAATAAATAAGCAACTGTGTGTGTGTGTGTGTGTGTGTGTGTGTGTATGCGCGCACAACCCTGCAAATTAACACAGCACTTCAATTGGGGGGATTTTGAGTGCACAGAGGCCAGGGATGCTGCAGACCATCCTACAATGCATAGGACAGCCCCTCACAACAAAGAATAAGCCTGTCTAAAATATCAATAGTGCTAAGCTTGAGAAACTCTGCCCTAGAGCACATCATCCAAGAGAAAGCAAGAAGGAAGCACCATGCTTTTTATGACACAGACTTGGAAATCACACATCACCATTTCTACTACATTTTATCATTAGAAGTAACTTCAGCCCACACTCAAGAAGGAAATTAAACTCTGCCTTTTGAAAGAAAGAGTATCAAAGAATTTGTGGACATTATTTTAAGACCAGCACGGTGTGTCTTCCAGCCACAAATTATTAACATTCCTCTCATATGCAAATAGGCTTATCCCCTCATAAGACCCTCCTCCTTTTAGTCCAAGCTTGCACTGTTTATGCCAATATAATTCTTTGAAAAACTTTGCAGGTCTCCTGTGAATCTTACTGGGTCCACACCTCTTCAAGATAAGCCCTTCTCTACCTTGAGATTCTGCTGGAAAACAACATCCTTCAGTTTCTTAGAAGCTCTATTGTTTGATGGAGAGAACCTGTTGAGGCAACTCTAAAACTTTTAGTAGACTTTTGCCCGACTGAATGGTACTCAGGAGCATCACCTCTGATCTTTCTGAGGTGATGCTGATGGATTTAATAATTACATCTTAGATTCATCTTCAGACCATGTTTTCCTGGAAGTGTCATTTTCTGTGTCCTTTTGTTTTTTTGGTTTTTTTTTTTTCTTCTTCTTTTTTTTTTTTCTTTCTGTGTCCTTTTGGATTTGATCTTTGCTACAAATCATTTCTTGATTTAAACATCTCTTGTCATGTGAGGAATTTTCAAAATGGTAACACCCTGTTTCTTTTTTGTTTACTTGTTCTTTTTTCAGCTTATCCATGTCCTCTTGCATTTTACTATAAGCAGCAAGAAGCAGTATCTTCAGTGCCACCAACAGTCTATAAAAATCTCCTTAGTTACATCACCCAGTTTATCAGGTACCCTCTCTACTTTCCACATTACTTCAGGTGACAGTGTGGCTGGCTACACTTCCTGCTATTACATAACAAGGAGACCATTTCTCCCAATTTCCCAAGTTTGGGAACTTTATTTCATTTTCCTGCAAGCCTTCACTCACCAGCTTCTCAAAGTGCATGAGGCTTCTGCTAACAGTTTGTTCAAAGCTCTTCAAATTTTCATTAACACTGTCCTCAAAGTTCTTCTAGCTTCAGCCCACTACTCAGTGGGCCTCCTGCTCTCTTCCACATTTCCAGTTCTTGTCATAGCTGCATCCCACTTCCGGGCATTAAGATCTATATTGTTCATCTATTGCTATATAACAAATAATCCCTAAGCTTAACAGCTTAAAACAAGAATCATTAGAGTAGTTTTCATGGGTCAGGGATTCAGAAGCAACTTAGTTGGGTGGTTGTAGCTCAGAATCTCTCATGTCAGAATGTTGGTTGGGCTTCCAGTCTCATCTAAAGTCTTCATGGGGCCACTTCCAAGATGGCTTAGTCACATGGCCGTTTGCAGAAGATTCCTTTCCATGTAGGCCTTTCCATAGGAAGGATGGATGTCCTCACAACATAACAGCTGGTTCCTCCCAGAGGAAATGATCCAATGAAAACAAGGAGAAAGCCACAATGTCTTTTATCGTTTAGTCTCAGAAATCACATCATCACTTCTCCCACATTCTACTGCTAAAAAAATGAAGTTTAGATACAAGGGTGGGGAAAGGAGTTACACACATTTTGAAGAGAGGAGGATTGAATAATTTAAAACAAACATAGATCCCCTCAAATCAGGGACTCTAAAGGACTTTCTAAAGGAATTTCTTGTCTTGTAGCTGCTGAACTGAGAGAGAAAGAGGGGGAGAATTGACCCTTTTAGTTTGCTGACTTAAAATATCACTTAGTTCACAACTTTGTCAGATCTCTTTAGTGAAGAAAGAGCATTCCTTGGGAAAGAGTGAGACCCTAAACACTGAAACATGACCACCACATGGAGAGATTCAGATGGCTTCTAGTTCCTAAACTCCCACGCCCATAGAAATATACTCTTCGGGTCTGCTGCTACACAGAATATACACTCAGCTGCTGCTCACCCTTGCCCTGAAGCCATGCCCTTGGGCTGCTCCCAACCAGTGATGGAGCACAAGGCAGGCCCATTCTGGCAAGATGTGAGAATCCACCTTTGGGGCAACTCCCCAATGGCCTGGCCAAACCTTTATTTGAATTGTGCCGCAATCAAGATTCTTCCTTCCCCAATCTTCCTTCCTCCCCACTCTCCTTCCAAAGGCATCACACATGCATCATAATCTAAAGGCTCTCTCTATGTTCTCCTGATTCCTCTCCCAGGAAGTCCCTTGAACTTCTAATCCCATTTTGCCATCAGATGAACTAATGCAGCTGCCCTTGTCAGACAAATTTCCCCTACTCCCCAGTGTGTGAGGTTTTTCTCACCTCGCACAAAGACTCTGCAATGTCCTTTGTGGAAATAATCTAATACGGGGTGGGAGTAGCCAATTCTCTTCATTCTTCACCGCTAATATCATTCCTAGCCTTGAATCCTACCATCCTAGTAATGTACTAGAGACAGTTTGTACTAGATCATAAAAGTCAATTGAGAACTTTCAGGAATCTCATGAACTGGTTGATAAATACAGTCATTATCAAAATTTAAATATACCTAGAGTTAAATAATTATATTAACAGCAAAGTTAATAAAAATTCCAAAATGTATCACTTTCTAGTTATTAACAAACTTTTCTTAGTATCTGTACCCTTGAAGCTACTTACATCTATTATATCTGGGTGTTGGAAAGAATATATAATGGTGCGCCACTGGCACTTCTCTTTGGATATTGAGGCCAGATTTAGATGTGCTGTTTCAGCTCATTTCTGCAGTAATCTGAGGGGTTACCAGCTTTGAGTGCAGCTTGAAGCAAGAGAAGGCTTGTAACTGGTCCAAGAAGCTCTGCCCTCTGATCCAATGAATCCAATGTATTTGAAACACCTGTGGCAAGGCTGCCGCATGGAGCTTTGGCACATCCCAGGCCCCCAGGGTTTCGCAGCCCAGCCATGAACTCTGTTCTCATTTTTGAGAGGCCAATCTTGGTTTGTTGCTTGGCACTGATAAATACTTCAGCCTGATCATGAGCCATTAGGTAACCAAGCAACTAGTGCCCATTGTAAACTCGGGGTTATCTGATACACCAAGCCATAAAGTCGGCTAACATTTAGTGTGTGGACACAGCATGCCAGGCTCTGTATATCACTTGTAACATTTCCTTTAATCTTCACCACAATTCTGGGAGGCAGTTCTGTTATTGTTGCTATTATCCCTACTTCAGCTGAGGGGTGAAGGTGGGGAATTTATAGGTTTTTCCTACACAGAGAGAAGATAAGTAATTTGCCCCCTAGTCACATAGCTCATAAATAGCAGAGCTTGGTTTGAACTCAGACCCTCTGGCCCCAAAGTGCACATGTTTAATTATCAAATTATATGGCTTCTTATGATCAAGTGGAAGTTTTCTGTATAGGATTAGGCTTGAGCAGAAACTGAAGACACAACAGATTGCAGAGTGTGCTTGGTCCTCTCACACTGCCACTCTTCCTCAGCTCACACATCTGAGTTAGGGATGTTCTCTAAGTACAGGTGACTGAACAGACAACCTGCACAGTATGACGGCAGCAGCCACAAGTGGATGCCACAACACTATAGCCCAACTCAAGGCTGGTCCTGAAGATCAACTAAGGAGAATTTTCCAGTAGGCAGAATTTTTAGTATTTCATCCTATTGACTACCTGGTCTGAAAGTAGAAATGGCCTGAGGTGCACATGCCACTTGTACTGGCCAGTAGCTGATGGTTTAGCTCAGGAGTCAGACTTGGAAGGATCATGAATGCAAGGCTGATGGTGACAAAGATGTTTAGGGGAAGAGGCAGTCGGGGGATCTCTCAGAATGGATCCTCTTGAGTATGAGGATATTTAGTTCTTCATGAATACCCACTGAAGGTTCTACTGTAGAGGAAATGCTCAATAATCAGGTGAAAAGTCTATCCTAGCCTTTGCATGTCAACCAACTTCCTTCCCCAGGCACTCCAATGGTTCCAAGTGATCTCATAAGTGAGATCAAAGATCTCAAATAAATCTTTGTTACATCCATACGTAATTCGCCACCCAGGGATCCCTGTTTTTAAGTATTAAGTATGAAATTTATAGATGTTGCCAAGTCAAAGTTGTATATCCATGGGACACTCATAAGTCTTATTTAAGGTTTAAAATGAGACAGAGGGATCCCTGGGTGGCACAGCGGTTTGGCGCCTGCCTTTGGCCCAGGGCGTGATCCTGGAGACCCGGGATCGAATCCCACATCGGGCTCCCGGTGCATGGAGCCTGCTTCTCCCTCTGCCTATGTCTCTGCCTCTCTCTCTTTCTCTCTCTGTGACTATCATAAATAAATAAAAATTAAAAAAAAATAAAATGAGACAGAGAAATAGCCAAGTATGTAGTAAATAAAATTGATCTAATCATCTTCTCAAGATTCTTTCATGCTTGAGTTATTTTATAGAAGTCTTATTACAATCACATTTAACGTTCCTTCCTGATATACATCTTCTCAAGGAACTTAAAAAAGAAACAAAGAGTAAACCTTCATTAGATTGGCAAACAAAACTGTATAGTTCTCCCCACAGTTACTACCATACCCAAACTCACAATCTCACACTTCGACATATATCCTTCTACTACTCAAAATCTCATGTTGATAATTGGCCATGATAAATGTGGGACTTTGGAAGGTAGTTGTACAGCATCAAAAATACCTAAATCTAATTCCCATTTGTTCTGTGCCCAAGTCCTGCCCAGCTCAGCTCAGCAAAGCCTTGTGCTACTCATCTCTTCTATTAAAAACCTGGGACCCATCTGTGTAGTAGACAGAATGAAGCTGAGGGTAATGAATAGAGCAGATAATCTAACAGCAGATCCTAGAATGTGTATAAAGTACCTGTGCTCATGTAACATACATGAATGTGTATGTGCAGTGTACACAGACCTCATATGAACAAAAAGAGAATAATGTTTATATATTCATATATATTAAATATTTATTTATTTATCCATGAGAGACAGAGAGTGAGAGAGGCAGAGACACAGGCAGAGGGAGAAGCAGGCTCCATGTAGGAAGCTCGATTTGGGACTCGATCCCAGGACCCCAGGATCATGACCTGAGCCAAAGGCAGGCGCTCAACCACTGAGCCACCCAGGTGTCCATATATATTTTTTTATATATATACATATACATATATATGCATGTGTATAAATATTTAAATAAGAAATGACACATTTAAATATATAATATGTATTAAATAGATAATAAAATGCATTCCCTCCTCTCTTTCAGTTGAAACTTTATTGATAAAATAGAGGATGGAGGATGTAAGAATAAAGGAAGTAAATATATTCCAGGGTTTTGGATAACAGGTATTCTCAGAGGACTCCGATACAGTCAGGGACATTATCTCTAGTTAATGCAGCTGGAAGAGTATAGCCAGTATGTGAGGCATGCTTCTCTTTGCCCAAAATTGAGCTAAATGTTCATCAACAAAATGGATTAAACCAACAAGGGACAAAAACAAACAAACAAACAAAAAAAAAAAAACAACAAACAAAGGACAGATCAAAATGAAAAAAAAAGTGTTCTGTCACTAAAAATGTTCAGACAGAACTGAGTTATTATAACAGCAAACAAGGAGAAATATATATAATTATATATACATAAAATCTTTGGTAAGAGGAATATATATACATTTAGATATATATACACATACATATCACATAATTATATTATGCTTAAGTATATTTATATATGTTATAAAAGATATAATATGTGCAATTATGTAATCATATAAAATATTATAAATATAGGGGCACCTGGGTGGCTCAGTCGGTTGAGTGTCTGATTCCTGATTTCGTTTGGCTCAGGTCATGATCTCAGGGTCATCAGATCAAGCCCCATTTCAGAGGGGAGTCTGCTGGGGATTTTCTTCCTCTCCCTCTGCACACCCCAACCCCCTACACACACATGTTCTCTCTCTCTCTCAAATAAGTAAATAAATCTTTAAAAAATATTATTAACACACTTTATATATCATACATGTAAATTTATACTTATGTGACCCTCATATACAGATTAGGCAGTTCCAAGTACATAAATGTGTATGATGATGTTAAATACATTTCACAAGCCTATTATTGATGCTCAAAGCTAAAGGAGATATTTCATCTCAGTCCTATCACAGAGTCTTTGATCCCTCTCTACCTCACACTCTAGACTTCCCCTCACATTAACTTTGAAACCACTCTGGATCTGAGCTTGGTCAATATATTTATTTGGCAATATGTAAAAGCTATTGTTAGTTCCACCATTCATGGAAAAAAACAAATTCAGTATTGCATTTTCTGAACTTCTGACCATGTTGGCTGCATGGCTTCCTAAAGACACATGAGATGTACACACAGAAGACACTGGAGAAATGCATGACTTAACAGCTATGATTTTGGAGAATGGCTACCTGGTTTCTTGCTGTGGTCACAGGGCTGGTCTGTGCACAGAATTCCAGGCTCTGAGGCCATCCTGCTAAAAATGGTCTGCTCTGCCAACCTCCCACCCATCGTGCTACGTGAGGTCTTCCAAGGGTGGTGCTCCAGTTGGGAGGCAGCTGGGGTTAGCTTTACAAGTTAAGAGAGGGGAAACTAGATGAAGGGGTAAGAAAAAGTGGGGAAAGGATGGAAGATACTGGTGGGTCCCCCAGGAATGAGCTTTTGCCCTTGTCTGTTTCCATATGAGGCTGACCCTGTGGTACAAGACTATTGTGAATCTCAATTCCATTTTGTCCTGACTCAAGCCACAGCTCTTTGTCCTTAGACGTGAAAGTAAAAGACACTCAAAGAATTCCTAGAGACTTTGAAATGTTTGAGTAACAGAGTTTGCAAGGTATGTGTCCTGCACATAGACCCCTTTCACTTTGGTCCCATTAAGGCCAAACTCAAGGCAGGTGAGTTAGCAAGAAGACAGTGCCTCTGGCAGCAAAACCCAAATAAGCAGAATAAGAAAAGCAGAAGCCGGGCAGCCCGGGTGGCTCAGCGGTTTAGCGCTGCCTTCAGCTTAGGGCGTGATCCTGGAGACCCGGGATCGAGTCCCACATCGGGCTCCCGGTGCATGGAGCCTGCTTCTCCCTCTGTGTCTCTCATAAATAAAATCTTTAAAAAGAAAAGCAAAAGCTAAATCCTATCTCTGGGCCTTTGGGGAAAAGCATGCTCTCTTTCTTCCAGGGGCCTGAGTTCTGCTTGAGAACATTGACTCTTGAACAATATACTGCAGGGGTTAGGGGCACCAATCCCCTATTCAGTTGAAAATCCATGTATAAGTTTTGACTCCCTAAAAAAAGCTTCACTATTAGCCTATTATTGACCTGAAGCCTTATTGATAACATAAAGTTGGTTAACATATATTTTGTATGTTATATATATTATATACTGTCTTCTTACATTAAAATAACCTACAGAAAAAGTGTTATTAGGAAAATAATAAAAGGGGCACCTGGGTGGCTCAGTGGTTGAGCGTCTGCCTTTGGCTCAGGTAGTGATCCCAGGGTTTTGGGATCCAGTCCCACATCAGGCTCCCTGCTCAGTGAGGAGTCTGGCTCTCCCTCTCCCTCCCTCTCTCTCAAATAAATAAATGAAATCTTAAAAAAAAAAAAAGAAAGAAAGAAAGAAAAGAAGAAAGAAAAGAAAATCATAAGAGAAAATAATATATTTACAGTATTGTACTTCATTGATCACAAAAAATTCACAAATAAGTGGGCCTGTACAGTTTAAGCCCGTGCTGTTCAAGAGTCAACTGTATTTTGCTTTTGTCAGGGTGCTGACCCTGTCCCATCAACAACTATGAGCCCCTCAGCCAGTTTTTCTGAAATGCCCCCTTACTCACACTTGGCATTGTGTAGCCCCTGCTCAGAATGAAATCCTTAAAGGCAATTGTCCCTTGAAGGTCTGCAAGTGACTCCTCCTAAAAAAAAGTATCCACAGTAAAAAAACAAAAAAAAAAGCTGTCAGAAGTTTGATTTCATACTCGTCCTAATTCAAAGCAGTTAGCTTTTTATAAACTACCTCATTTTGGGATTCCTGGGTGGCGCAGCGGTTTGGCGCCTGCCTTTGGCCCAGGGGGCGATCCTGGAGACCCGGGATCGAATCCCACGTCGGGCTCCCGGTGCATGGGGCCTGCTTCTCCCTCTGCCTGTGTCTCTGCCTCTCTCTCTCTCTCTCTCTGTGACTATCATAAATAAATAAAATTAATAAACTACCTCATTTTAAATCACTTTCTTCTCATCTGGGAGTATGTGTGTAGGTAACATCCATGAGTTGATGCATATAAAGGCTTTCAAAAGATGTCCGACTTTCTCTCCTTTCCCTACCCCCACTTTTTTTTAAACCCCTATATTAAGGATAATCAACACTTTTTAGCAATTAGACAATTATTAAGCTCCGATGTCTGGAATCTAACCTATTTGAGATTAGCAAGTGTGCTACTGTGATTTTTAGTAGGAAATATATATTTGGTCTTCTTCCCATTCCTGGCACAGAGCTCCTAAAACCATGGGCATTTCCTAAATGATAAGAGCCACAAAGGTGAAAGGAGAATTTTTTGTTATTCATAACTAGCCCCTTTCAACCACAACAGAAATGATGTTAACAAGGGCTGGAAAGCCCTCAGAGAGCCACAGAATGGGGTCTGGTTGCCAGAAGAAACAACCACATGATGAGAGGGTTGGAACTTTCGGCTCCATCCTGCAATCTGTGGTTGAATTAATCACCTATGACCAGTGATGTAATCAATCATGCGTACATACTAAAGCCTCCATAAAAACCCAAAAGGACAGGGTTCAGAGAGCTTCCAGGTTGGTAAATATATGGAGGTTTTGGGAGGGTGGTGCAGCTGGCGAGGGCACAGAAGCTCTGCACCTTTTTTCATATACCTTGCTCTGTGCATCAGCTATTCCTGAATTATATCCTTTTTTAAAAAATGAAATGCTTTTTTTAAAGAAAGATTTTATTTATTTATTTATTTATTTATTTATTTATTTATTTATTTATTTATTTATTTATGAGAGACAGAAAGAGAGAGAGAGAGTGGCAGAGACACAGGCAAAGGGAGAAGAAGCAGGCTCCATGCAGGGAGCCCGATGTGGGATCTGATCCTGGGACCCAGGATCATGCCCTGGGCCAAAGGCAGGTGCTAAACTGCTGAGCCACTCAGGGATCCCTGAATTACATCCTTTTATAATAAATTCATAATCTCATAAGTAAGCTGTTGCCCTGAGTTCTTCCAGCAGATGACAGAAGCTGAGAAGGAGGTGTAGGGACCTCCCATGGACAGCTGGGTGGTCAGAAGCACAGGTGACAATCTAATTTGTAATTGACATCTGAAGTAGGGGCAGTGTTGTGAGACTGATGCAACCTTAACCTGTCCGGTCTGATGCAAATTCCAGGTGTTCAGTATCAGACTTGAGTTAAATTTGTGGAACACCCAGCTGGTGTCTGGAGAATCAGAGAATTGCTTGGTGTTGGGGAAAAAAAAAAACAAAACAAAACTGATGCATCTAGTGGCCAGAACTAAGAGTAGTAGAGGAAGAAACAGGAGTGTTTTTTCCACTTGACAATATATCCGTAATTTTTAGATCTGTTAGAAAGGAACAACAGGCCCAAAATGGAGTCACTTCTTTTAAGCCACCAAGATTTAAGACCTAACCTAACTGTGGGTTCAGCCTCCCCCAGGAGTGGGATTTTAAACCAGTCAGTGGAATTTCCTGATGAGCACTAGGGGGCTCAGGGGTTTAGCGCCGCCTTCAGCCCAGGGCATGATCCTGGAGACCCTGGATTGAGTCCCATGTCAGGCTCCCTGCATGGAGCCTGCTTCTCCCTCTGCCTGTGTCTCTGCCTCTCTCTGTGTGTGTCTCTCATGAATAAATAAATAAAATCTTAAAAAAAAAAAAAAGAACCCCAGGCTTGAAGGTGACTTTGCCTACAACAGTCCTTTCTTTTCTTTTGCTAATAACTTCCTTATCCACCCCTTCCATTTCTGCCTATAAAAACCTTCCATTTTATAAAAGTCCTTGGTGCTTCCTTCTATTTGTTAGATGAGATGCTGCCAATCCATAAATCATTGAATAAAAGGCAATTCAATCTTCAAATTTACTTTCTAGCTACTTCTGAAAACAATTTAGTAATTTCCTCTCAGTTCTGAGCTCCACTCTCCGCATCACACTTCTCATCTAATTGGCTTTCCACAGTTCTCCATCCCACTGGAAACCCCAAACCCTGGTTCTATGTCCAGATCCACATTGGCAGCTATGGTTCCCCATTTATTGGGAATCAGCCCACACCCCTCATTTTTTCAATGCTTTTTCTAGTCTCCAGATTCCATACAGGGAGCTGCTGGTTATTGCATCCAGTTTAAAAATCCAGGCTGGATTGGATTTGGGACTGGACTGGGTCCAATTTGGGCTGATCTGAGTCTGCTTTGAGCTGGATGGGCCCAGCAGGAGGCCTCAGGTATTCAGTATTAAACAGGGCTAGTTGCTAATGATAATCTCAAAAGTCAAGCTGAAAGCACTGGTGGGCAGAAGTTGAGCATTTAAAGGTTGTTAGAGTGCCTGACACTTTAAGAAGACTCCTGTGATAGGCCTTCTTCAGTATTAGTTTTGGCTCCAAGAAATCCAAAGGCCTAGCTAAAAGATATGAGATCCTTTATATCCAGAGAACCTCCTTCCCACATAATTATGTTTAAGAACTCTGGTCCCAGAAGCTGTAGATACCTAGCAAAATGGCAAACTTTTGCTAGAAATAACCTAGAATTACAAAGGCCATTATGGGGAACCTTTCAGTTAGATAAGATCACTCATTCAAGAAATGCACTTGAGAGCAAGAGTGTTCCAACTGGAACATACAGAATGGGATGCTACTTTAATTGCTATGCAGAAGCCTCCAAGAGGTTTGAAGATTCCCAAATAGCTTCATTGAACTACTTCATTACAAAAGACCAATGAAAAATTAGAGACACAGAGCAACCAAAATAAAAGCTCATAGGACTGAGGTGACTCCTATTGCTCCCCTCTAACCGTTTTCACCTAAGAACTCATATTTTACTAATCCTCTGTCCAAGCATCCTTTCCACTCTGAAGAGACTATTGGGCAGTTACCTTTTAAAATAAAATTACTCAGGGTTGCAAATGAACCTCTCAGGTATCTGTCACGCCTTGGTCAAAGACTGAACTAATGACCATAATTAAAGAAATTACTAAACTCTAGGGAGGAAGCCCAAAGTTTTTTGAAGAATTTGAGTCATAATCTGTGCCCATGACTCCAGGCTGCCAGGTCTTTATCAACACATACACATGTTGGCAGGCAGGACCTGGTGGAATCCAAAAATGGATATAGGAAGCAAAATCCCATGGATGATATTTGAGATCCTTGGTCTTCAACATCTCAGGGACCAGAAAAAGCTCACAAAATAGCTGAACTTTTCAAGGCATTCTTAGAGACTTCAGATAGGTATAACTCAACCTCTCCCTAAGTTACCTCACTAACCATTAAAGCCTGAGGCCATACAAGGCCTCACACTAATTGCCCAGAGGTTAATCATTCCTTGTACCAGTTCCTGCAAAACCCAAGCTAGTCAGTCTGGAAACCTAATGGATGGGATGCTGATTTTCTCAGGATTTGAGAGCTATTAATAAGACAATTATTCCCCACCTCTCCATCATTCCAAACCTGAACACCCTTCTGTCACAAGTTCTACCAGACTCAAAATGGCCCACTGCCTTTTCCAACATCCCTGGAGACCCCAGTAGCCAATATCTATTTGCCTTAGATAGCCAACTACTATTTGCCTTGAACTATCAACACTATAAGTGGACAGTCAGGCCTCAAGAGTTTATGAGGCCCCTTCTAATTTCTCTCAAGCACTTCACCAAGATTTAAGCAACACTCCAGTTCCCCAGGAAATCCACCCTTTTGCAATATGTAGATGACCTCTTGCTACTTCCAGCCACCAAAGAGGAGTCCATAAAAGAGTCCATTTATTTGCTATAGTAGTTAGCTGAAAACGGACACAACGTCTCTAAGAAAAAAATTACAATTCTCTAGACATTGTTCATTCCCTGTGTCATTATCTAAACCCTGAAAAATTCAGCTGTATCCCAAAAGAATTAAGGTAATCCAGGAACTTCCTACACCCACAATGAGGAGACAGATTTGTGGATGGCTAGGCTTGGCTGGTTATTGCAGACTATGGGCTCCTAATTTTTCTCTATTAGCTACCTGACTCTATGAACTTCCTAAAATTTCAGTCCCTGGACACCTTTGGAGCAGGCTTTTAGGAGGCTAAAACAAGCATGGTAAGAACTGCCTGCCTTTGGGCCACCTGACTATGCAAAACCTTTCACCTTATTCATGCAGGAAAGGGATAATCTAGCCCTAGGAATCCTCCCTCAAGAGCCTATTACCTAGTACAGCACACAGCTTGATTCGGTTGCTCATGCTGATCCCAGCTGTCCTAAGGCTACAGTCAAGCTACAAAGCAATGGAGGTCTCATCAGATTTGACCCTAGCGAATGACATTTATTTGTAAACTCCACACACTGTCCCAAGTCTTCTTAACTCAGAATTGACTCAACATTTCTTGCAGGTAGACTAACTTCCTATGAGATCCTTCTGCTTTCACTGCCTAATCTGTGTCTTAAACATTGCAACACTCTCAATCCTGCCATGTTACTACCTCTACCTGAGGAGGGTGAGTCCTGATTCAAGGTTCTAACGTCCCATTTTGTGATACCATGTCCTGATTTATGACATACTCCTTTAAACTACTCCTGATCTAATCTTTGTTGATGAGTCATACCACAAAAATGAAAACGGGGATTTTCAAGCTGGCTGTGCTATTATTACCCAAGATGGACTACTCAAAAGAGGAAACCTTCCCTCAGCTACATCCACACAACAAGCAGAGGT